CCATTGCTCAACTGAAGTCGCGCAGAGATGTCTCGTCTCAAATCATCTGATTGTTTTGCTTCTAAGTACGACTTCATGGCAAGTGTTCTGAGGGCATCAATGTTCTTTTAAGGAGAAGGAAGTGAGGCTGTAAGCTGTTCGGGCGTCATGTTCTCTGGATACAAAAGATCAGCAGGTTGTCTTTGTCTTTTGAATGCCATCTCCAACGGAGATACTCCACCAAAAGTTACCATAGAGTTTCTGGCAAGCGATGCTTGTCTGAGGAGTTGGCGATACGTAATCTCGTATCTGGATGGATCCTCAGTCACGGCCTTAAGCATCAGGGCGATCTGCTTTTTGTACGTGCGAACAGCTGCTTCTGCTCTGTTTGGCCATGGAGTACCAGGTCCTAAAGTAATCGGTCGGATGTTCTTCCTGTTGTAAAAGCCCTCAAGTTCAGTACCCATGAAACCTTGATCACCGACAAGATACTTAGGATTCAACTGGTATGTTTCAAAGTACTCCAAAAGATGGCCAATGGTTTCTGCTTCAGTCTTGCCGTTACACACGCAAGCAGTGGTCATAGAAGTTGCACCATCATAGATGATCAGGACAAGAAGTTTAGACTTCTCATTGAGAGCTAGTTCGCCATGATCAATGAAAGTGAGTTCACCAAACGTTTCGCTTCTCATACCTGAAATTCTTGATCTTGAAGATGCAATTTTTGACTTCTGACATGCGTCACACTGCTATTAACTACTTTCTCATATTCTTCATAGATCTTAGCAGGAATCTTCAAAGCTGATGCGCGTTTCTTGAACTGCTCAATTGACATGTGATAGTGCTTCAAATGCAGTTTCAAGAGTTCTGTTGGATGAGACAGCTTTTCATGAATTCTATGCAATGCTAACGGCAGTGTAACTGAAACCTTTGGTGCCTTCTTCTCTCTGTGGACTGTTGTTGGTATTGGTTTCACGTCTGCCTTTGGTTCTTCCTTTGTTTCTTCCTGAGGGTCTGGCTTCACCGGCATGTCTGGTGCTGCTGGAGGTACGTCTGTCTTCTCGGCTCCTGAGCTCGAACTGTACCAAAATCAGGTGACTTTTCTGTCTTCCGGTATGTCGGAGGTGTCACCGTCTTAGCCGGTGGAGGCATCGAAATGAGCTTCGATGGAGGATCGATCTTGGCATCTCCACTTGCGACTTTCTTCTCTGGCTTCTTGGCCGGAATATCGGCTCCCGACTTGTCTTCCTTCACTTCGGATGTTTCTGCCTTCTTGCATCCATCCTTGCATGGACATGATGCATACGAAGGATTGATCGCTGTGAAGCTGTGGTTCGGCTTTCGAGCTGAGCTGGCAAACATCATGATGTCTAAGACATTATGGTTCGAAGTGCTCACTGGCAGCGAAAATCGCTTCAGGCCGAACAAAGGAAAAGTCAGATAGTCGCCAACTGGAGTATGCTCAATAGACATGCGAAGGTTCCTGAGCTGCTCAACGCTGAAAAGGATTGGAAAATCGCCTTAATCCAAGATATCTATCGCTGTTGTGATCCACCCTGTAGGTGACTGGTCATTCTGGAAGTATATCACCAGCTTCTCTCGGACGTTGGACTGTTCACCGTTTGCGAATGAAAATCGGCTTGACGAAGGCTCAAAAGAGAAATCAATCTTGGATGCATTGTAGTGTCTCTTACATGCCTTCACTAGACGCATGATGGCGGTCCTTGAACCCATTGCTCTTGTACAGCCGCTGTCGATGATCACGTAAGTCGGGCTGTACCTCAAGTCGATATACTCTGAAAGCAAAGCATGGTGAAATCCATCGTCAAAATTGACAAATGAAGAACAGAAGCATGGATCAATCACTTCAGAACAACCGGTATGTCGGTAGTCTGCACTGCTACCGGCAGGGTTTAGGTGATACTGATGTGAAACATGTTCTTCACCAGTCATCTCCTCTGCGTGATATCCGGAATATCGGAAATCGGCTGACTGGTTCATCTGGTCAGGCCTTGGCTCTGAGCTATAGCGCTCTTCATCTTGCGGTCTGTCCGTCTGTCCGTCCGCAAAGTATGTCCATTGGTGCCAAGTGGCTTCATTTGCCTGCCAGACTTAATCTGGATAGTACTGGTCTGTGTGGTATCCATACGAGTCCCATGACCAATTTGCTTCATGTGCACTCCAGGTTTCTTCGGCACTAGGATTTGACTGAGCTGTTGAAGGCTCTTCGGTGGTTGCAACATTGGATTGCTGAAATGGATTCTGTTGCTTGCTTTTTCCTTTGCCTTTGAATGCACCTTTTCCTTTGAAACCTTTCTTTCCACCTTTCTTTCCTTTCTTGCCTTTTCCATACTCTGCATAGTGCGCCCCTGCACCTTTGCCTCTACGGCTGACAAAGCCGGGTCTCCTTCCTTTTCCGCGGCCTTTACCCTTGCCGCCTTTGGATGGTTTTCTGAACCTTCTTCCATGGATTCTTCTACGGGTGTATCCTCCTTTGGCTGCTAACACCCAAAGTTCGGATTCTGAGAACAAACTCACAAATCCTTCTTCGCCTGTTTCCTGATCCATCACCCAGTATCCGGATTCTTCCTCCAAGTCTCCTTCATCGAGGACAAGGAAAGTGGATCTTCTGTGCCTGCGGATCGAAGGATCGGCAGTTCCTGTGGCGGTTCCGCAAAAGAGATCAAGGAATAAGCCTTTGACACCTAAGTATGTGTAGTTGTTCATGTTAATCTGACGCAAGGCCATGCTGGCTACGAACCTTTCTTTGCTGTTCGTTGAGGTCCGACTGAACTAAGAAAACAAGTGACATCAGGTTGTCAGACAGTGGAAAAGTGTCACGATGTGCTTGTTTCAAAGCATCAATGTGTTCAGAACGGATCCTTTTTGCATTCTCTCTTCTTTCTGCGGGATCTTGAAGTCCTTGAAGTAGTAAGTACTGCTAATGCGAGAGGATGTCAGTAAAGTTGAAATCATCAGGCTGTGGAACAGTCGAAAGATCTAACAAGCCCATGAAGGCTTCCATGACTTTCTTACTTGCAACTTCGAAACGAGCGATCCAACTTACAAAGTCCCCGTTTCCGCGCCAGGTCCTGAAGAGCTGCATGAAACGCCAGAGAAAAACATGGTTTGCTCCCTTGACAAAGTATGGACGCAACGTCTCCTTGAAATACGTAATACCGTTTCTTTCATGACGAAGCTGTTCATTGTCGAGCATCTTCTTATAGTATTCGGCGTTCCCTGTTAGAGCGTTCTTCAATGATGGGCCTAATTTTTCGACGCTCAATGTGGTGATATTCACCCAGTCATCAATCAAATCTTCAAACTCGAACCAAGATGACTGTCCATCAAAGGTCGGGGGAATCTTTGGCGTCATCTTGACACCTGTTGCTGGCTGTGCCTCATATGTCCGGAATGTCGAACCTGAGGATCTTGATTGCTGTTGGCGATGACGCGAACCTTGTGCGGCGAAAGCTTCTTCTGGATCAGTTTCGTCCGACAGGCTGTCGTCATGCTCTTCGTCCGTATCTATGTTAAAGATCTGGACCATGGTCTTTTTTTCAGACAAGTGACCTACTTGGTTGTCTCCTGTCCGGAATATCGGACGATTCGGCACGAAGGCAAAATCGACCGTTGCGAAGCAGGAGACACAAGCTCCGCTACCACTTTGAGGGGTAAGTTCCCCCAGAAGTGGCAGTAGCTTTACTGGACTTGATCGAATACACCAAGTGAGGTCACGAAGGTCAACGGTGTGCGAGCGGCAGCGATGCACACCTTTTCTATGGCTGCGGATGCAGGTATTGGGCTTCAATAGTCTTGAGCCAAATGAATTAGGTCGATAGCGGACTGAAGAACTACATACAAGTCTATATACAAAGAACAGGTGCTACACATGTATAGCGCAGACACGTCCCCTAGGGCACTACAAACACAGGGGGGTTGGGGGGGGCGCAGCGCCCCCCCCAGCAGCACACCAGATCCAAAGGTGAGCAGCTGACGCTTGCTTGCTTGCTTCCTTGCTTGCTTGCTTCCTTGTTTGGTTTCGTCTCTGCAACGCAAACAAGAGGAAAAGCAAATGCAAAAAGAAAAAGGAGAACAGCTGCCAAAAAGAAAGAAAGATAGATAGATAGATGGATAGGCCAAAAAGCCAAAAGCCACAAAAGCCACAGAAGCCACGAAACAGAAGCCACGAAAGCCAAAAGCCACAAAAGCCAGAAGCCACAGAAGCCACGAAAAGCAAAAAAAACAAAAACAAGAACAAAAAACAAAATTAAATGGCCCTTCATATCGAATCCATGAAGGACCAGAGGACCAAGGGACTAGCGGACCAGTGGACCAGCGGACTGTAGGGGACCAGCGGACCAGGGGACCAGCAGACCAGAGGACCAGGGGACCAGCGGACCAGCGGACCAGGGGACCAGGGGACCAGCGGACCAGAGGACCGGCCACCTACACGACTGGGAATTCCAAGGGATTTCATCGCACAACGATTTTCTTTTTTGATTCAGTAAATATGTATTGTTTGATTCGGTAAATATTTTTTGTTTGATTCGATTAATATATCTTTTTTGATACCTATGCCAGCCAGCACCATTCATCTTGCTCTGACACTCCAAAACTTTTGCTGGTGAATAGACCATTAGCTTTAAGTGGCTGCACTGCATGCCTGGTGATGGAGTTATATAGTGGATGATAAGCTTGAAACACCCAACAAAAAGCACTTCAAAGCACAGGCCCAATTGAGTGTGTATTCAAAGACAATTGGCTGTGGGTTGCAGCCACATTCCGTTCTTCGCGAAGACTTTTGATCAAAATGTTGGGACTCTATTGAAACTTGGAAACCATATGCAGGATTTATCCCGTTGGCTCTGGTTTGCGGCACGTGTACATTTCTGGATGGAAGTTTGGTGTGATGCAAAAAGGCATCTAGCGCAAAACACAATCTGGAGTCTAGAGCAAAAAGACTTGCCGCTTTTTGATTGAAGGTTTGTAACATGGAGCGTTTCCATCAGCCGAGTCTCGGAGATTCCCCGCGCTGGTGCATATGTCCTGCCGCTGTCACTCACGTCTATTACAGAACAATGTGAAGACTTGAAGAGCCAAAGATTTGGACAATTCCCTGCAAATATATAGAGAGAGAGATGTGTGCATATGTGCGCTTTTGACAAGGAGTTTATATCAACTGCTTGGCGTATGTTCTGGATTCCACTGAGCTGGCCACACATTCTGCCGGAAAAAGATTCCACGATTTTATGGTGGAGGTGCTGCCTTGTTGCTCTTTGCCCCTTTGGCAGTTCGGCAGGGACATCTTCCCCATGATTTTAGATCACGGAGTGAACACTCCCAACGAGATTTCTGTGAGATAGGCCTGGGTAACTAATTAAGCTCTGCTCTTTGGCATGTGCTGATTGTTCTCTGCAGTGACCAGTGCTCTATATAACTTGGAGTGTCTTTCTTGGAAAGGCCACCGTCAGTGCCATAGGCAATGTTTACACACCCCTACGATGTGTTTGCTATGCGAACAGCGGCGATGTGGATCAAATCACTTTGTATCTTTGTCGCTCAAATCCTATCCGTCAGTGGTTACAATATATAATTGCAGCTTGTGTAGGTAGATTCATGTTGAGCACCTGAGACATGCGCAAGACAATCCTGCTGAATGGACAAATCACTGTGAAAGGCATTCATGAACATCACTTCGCCCAAAAAGGGGTGAGAGTGTGAGTAAAAGAAAAAGCTCTGTGCTTTGAGCCAACAAACGTGGCCCTTTTTGGAAGAAATTCGATCTGTTTTGATATGATTGCGAGTGACGGAAGCGCTGGGGAACCGGACAAGTCAGGACAAGCAAAGCCCACAATGGCCCTGGGCTCAAAGAAAATCAAGGAGGCAACGTCAAATTCTTCAGTATAGCTGTAAGGACTGTTTGAGTCCAAAAAAGCAAATTGGGCATCAAGCTTCTATAAACCTCATGCTTTGGCTTTAGGCGTCCATCGTCTCGATCTTTCAATTGGACGCTTGCAGGCTCAGAAAGCAGGTGTGGGACCACTAATATGCATTCATATATATATATATATTTTGTGAGAATTCCGAATAAAGGAATGAGTGCTCTGAGGAAGTTCACAAAGAAGGTTTGTATGTACATTCTGCTATGTAGCTGAGACATGCTGCAAGAAAAATTCAAAAGACAAAAGCAACCACCAGCCAAATGCCCCTTGTGTACCATTCAGAAGCCAGTGGACCAGTCACTAATAACTATAACCTTTGTGCAGAGTAAGTTGCTATAAAGAGTGATAATTACTAACGAAATGGAGGAGACTTTGTTGCCAGCGATGCGAAACATCTCGGAGTAAGGGTCTGTGGTTTCCCTGAAATGGGGTTGCATCAATAGCACACCCTCGGCCTGCAAAGGCAGCAGGCAGGTAAAAGAAATTTGGAGCAAAAAAGGTATTTGAGGAGCAGTCAACGGTCATGGATGTATATCTGGAGAATCCAGCAAGTGCAACCCTGCTTTAAGTAGTCGGACCCAAGCTTCAGCCAGGGGGCGGAGCCAGTGTGGGGCGGTTTCGCAAGAGCTCTCCAAGCACCGCGAGCGCTTGGTCACGCGGTGTGGTGCACAAAGCCTCTATGAAGGCCTCAGCGAATCATCTGGTCTCATCGTTATCGCCCAGATGGAAGAGTTGGATCTAATAGTAGCGTCCTTGCTCCTAGTAGTAAGGCCAGGAGCCCCTAGTAGCGTCCTTGCTCCTAGTAGTAGGCCAGGAGCCCCTAGTAGCTTCCTTGTTTCTAGTATATAGTATGGCCAGCCCCTATTAGCGTCCTTGCTCCTAGTAGCGATGCCAGGAGCCCCTAGTAGCGTCCTCTTGGAAAAATGCTTCTCGGAGGGGTCAAATCTCAGGGCTCAATTCATTGTGATCCTTTGATATTTCCCCAACGCAATCCATCGTGGCAACTTTGGATACTCAAATGCAGTGAAATGCGCGCGTTGTCCCATGAATCAAAGCATGCCCGAAAAGGCTCTCATATTCGAGGCACCTGGGTGTCCACCATGCCCAAGTGCTTGGACTCTAGGTGGCTAAATCTGCCTGGCCCAAGTCTCGCTTGAGCCAAATTGTCAAGCCAAAAGATGCTAAGCCATGCTATCCCTGTTCACCTGAAGATCACATCCCAACAGCATCTTTGGGAACGCTAAATGTGGAACAATAATTTTTGAGTCACTCTATGTTACCAAGGAATCTTGCTTGTCAAGATTCCCAGAAAGTAGTGAAGAGTAGCCACCAAAGACAAATGGCAAGCAGAGAAACGTTCCTGTTTCCAAATACCATGACCTTCGTCCGATTTGGTGCCGAAAATATGCTGCTTGTGTCAATGATCACCTGTGCTTGATCTCTCTGCCGACTCCGGTCACTCCTGTCTTTTTCTCTACTCTCTCCTTTCTGACTCTACTCAGAGTTTATGAGAAGGGAGAGTGCTCTCGTGCCAAGTTGTGCGTGGGTCCAGGCCGGGCATATGAAGTCATGGTGCCCTATCTGGATCTTAATTGACAAGTCCTCGCAATGGTAGACCAGATCCACACACTCAGCCCAAAACTGCATTGGAAAAGGGTGACACCTTTAGCATGTCATTGGTCATTTATCTGCCAATTTGCTTCAAGCAATCTTCACTCATGCGCAGTACCCATTGAATTCTTGCCACTGTCTGCGTTCAGCCTATGGAGGATCAACTGTGTAGAAGACACGCATGGTCGGAATACAAGGGGAAGCACAAAAAGTGCCTGGTAAGTCACAGAGTCTTTTGGAAGCCAGGTTGCCCTGCCAAAACAATAGCAACTCCCTGCTTCTCTGTCTCACTGTTCTCCAAAAAGCACTACAACCAATCATCAATCTGCTCGAAGCAAATATGTGCGGGAACTGACTTCGCAGCAAATCCCGCGGAGATGTCCAAGCCAGCCGTCAGCTGCTCTCCGCCGTGGCTATGGAGTACCAAAAGTTGCGTGCAAAGCGAAAAGGAAAAATAAGGGTCCCCTTCTGAGCCACCACAATCACAGGTCTTATCAGGTCTTACTGTCTTACCATGTCTTGCCATTCATTTCAAATCTCATTTGCCCACGACGTTTCCAGGCTCCCTCAGATCTGATCGCAGCAGCCCAGCATTAGGCCATCGTTGGTGGGGCAGCAGCCACCCGTGATGTTCAGCGCAACACACCCAGGGTACCTCGGTCTCCGGGCAAATATACACATCAGGGCCCCCAGGTGGAGAACGCAAACCGCAGGCCACTTCTGTTGAGCTGTTTCATGTTTCTAGGTTGGCTTCACTGTTGTGTTGCACCTGCACTTGTTTCAACAAGATGATGTGAGAAGTGTTGATGTTGAGGAGAGAGAGAGAGAGTTCCATCACACAGACTCGTGGCAGTGGGATCTCGGACAACCAACACTTCGCGTGTTTTTCAAAATGATTCCAATCTTTGACTATCGCAGAGTACCGGCAACGGTCCAAGACACTTGGAGCATTCAGAGCCGGCAGCGATCTTCACCTCTTCCACCGCCTTGGGGAAGCCCTCACAGCAGCCCAGTTTGACAGCATCGGCATTTGGGCAGCAGTCACCGTCAGAAATGCCCACAGCCACACATGCTGGATACTTGCTGCAGGACGTGCCGTTGATGCCCGGTGCTGGTGGAACCACTTCCTTTGCCACAGACTCCGTTGCGTCGGCAGCAGAACCCCAAGCACTTTGAGCTTGTTGAATGCCGGAGGTCACAGTGTCAGCTGCCTGTTGAAGACCGGAGCTCGCGGAATCAGACGCTTGCTGAATACCGGAGCTTGCAGCAGAGCCAGCGGTTGAGATGGCTTCCTTGGCTGCATCAATTGCATCCTGACAGAACTTGGGGCCTGACATAGTCTCAGAGTACTTGTATGGAGCGGCTTTGACATAAGACTCATCGCCAGTCAGAAGACATCCGCCATCTGGCCAGAAGGTAAAGTGCATGCAGCCATCCACAACTTGGCAGCGTTGTTGGCACAGTTCAGCACTCATCTCCACAGTCCTCTCGGTGCCAGGAAGCTTGACGGGCTCTGCGTAGTACATGCCCTGAACAAAGCAAGTAGTAACCTCTTCATCACCATCATCGACATCATCGTCAGCATCGACTTCCTGAAGACCCACAAATTCGCCGGACTTGCTTCGAAGCCCCTTTCCACGGAATGAGAGAACACCCAAGCTTGCCAGCCCGACAACTCCCAGAATCACCAGGACGCGAGTGGGGAAGCTCCACTTCCGCTGAGGCTGCTCCGTCTCCTCAAGAAGCTCTTCCAAGTCAGAGTGGTTCATCATCACGAGCACGAACGGGATGTGCTGAGTGTTTTAATCACAGCTTAGCCGATCTACTCTTGAGCTGTCCAAAGGCAATATATATATATATATATTTGCTCCACTTTCTGCAAGAGTGGACAAAGTCTCTTACACTAGACTGGACACTCATTACATGGCTATCAGTTGGCTGTGCAGCTTCCATGTCTTTCTTTCTTCTAGCTCACAGTGCAAAGAGTGTGGCGCGACAGCCCTCGCAAGCAATGACAAAATGTAAAGGCTGCCTAACTTCTCACAGTGGTGGGAGGTCTGTCTCAGTAATCCCTAGTGAATAAATGCGCTCGGCTGGCTTTGCAGCTTTGTGTCTACCTACCCCGAACTCAGCATGTTCAGAAACGAACATCTGAGAAAAAATGAACTCAAGAACCAGACCGAGGTAGACGTCGTCAGGCCCGTTCATATGTCAGAATCGTCAAAACACAACTCAAGCTGCCTGTTTAGCAACACAATGCTCCAAAGGCTTGAACAGACCGACGGACACTGGAGCTATCACTGGCCTCAGATCTGAGAGCAGCATCCCAATTGCAAGCCAGTGGCAGTGGGGCAGCAAGCGCCGGTCATGTTGAGGGCGACACAGGCAGGGAACCTGCAGTAGTAACTTGAACCGACAACCCTTCCATGCTTTGCCAGTTCTGCTTTCATAATAGCTGCTTGAACCGGACATTACAAAACATAGTTTGGGAGCTGTTTTCGGGCTTCCAGCTAGACTTTCCCTCTCTCAGGCTTGGTGTGCTCCGCATTGTCGTCGCAGGACTCCATCCAGGCCGTAACTAGTCATGAGTTCAGCAAGAAACAAGAGAAGACAATTGAAGGATTATGTTTTTCTTTTGTTTGTTTTTCGCCCGCGGGGGTGGGTGGTAGGCCACTAGGAGGTAACTAGAGGTAGCTTGCAAGTAGCTACTACTGACAGGACGTAGGATAGCTCGCGCTAATGATTTGGTTCCTAGATTGTTTGGGACAGTTAAAGACTTAAAGTTCCTAAATGATACCTAGAGCTTGGAAGAAACAAAATTCCGAGTTCCAAGAGTATTGAACAATCAGAACAATGATAACGTGCCTTCACTTACTGATAGTTGATTTCTGCTTTGAGCGCATCAGTCAAAGAAACAGTACTGTATTCAGAACATGTGGGGCAGGCATTCCAAAAAAATCTCAGAGAACAATCCGAACCATGCCTCACAGAATCACAATCAACATGCGTGAAGTGAAACCAAAGGCATTGCCGGGCAAGGACAAATGAACATTCATTGTACCTGCACACCGGAATGCTTTTGCACTACCCAATCAAAACCACCGCGTTTGGTCTCTAGAAGATTGTAAAGTATAGACTCGGTCAATCAAGGAGCGCAGAGCATTCGGCACCAGCAGTGATCTTCAAGACAGGTGCTGCCTGCACGGCAAAACACCAAACACGGTGTCGAAAAAAGATTCCAGCCTCGACACAGCTTCTAGCCAGGTGTTGATGCAAGTGAACATGTGAAGAGTTGAGTGGTAGGTGGTACAGAAATGAAGGCAAACGTCTTGCCGCCTTTAAGATACTTGAAGTGTCCGTCGACCGAAGCGTCCCGAGAAAAGCTCTGTTGGAAAGCTTCCATCAAATACATGAAGCACATGGTGTGACGCGTGCAGACACCCTCCATGGAGTATAACGTGTTAATTTGCACATGATCTCCTCTGTGTGTCTGTGTGTCTGTGTGCTGTTCTGATGTATAGACTATAGATGAATTTCACAGGGATGCAAATCCAGACTTTGTGCACAGTGTCCTTCCCCATCACTGTCCATCACCTTCACCTCGCCTCAGGAAAGCCATTGCAGCAGCCCAGTTTCACAGACTGGGCGTTGGGGCAGCACTCTCCAAGCATCCCCGCGGCCACGCATGCAGGATACTTGCTGCAAGAGGTGCCGTTGACACCGGGGATCATCTCAGTGATTTCACCTGGCACACGGCGTTCTGTCATGAAATGAGGACACGCACCTCCTCAGGTAGAACTCAGCTAGTGAAGTCCAAACTGAACAAACAAATCGGCTTGGCGGGGGGGGTGCACTTATATAGCCAAGCCTGCGGTTTTCGCGATCTTTTCCTGCATTTCGGGCGTGTCATCCAAGCTGGTGCCCAAGGTTGCCTGCCGCAAAGGAGTCGATCTCATTGGACTTCACTTCAGTGTTGATATCCAGTCTTTCTGTGCTGGTTCAGCGCTGTTGGTCGGGTTGATGAAAAAAAATCAAAATCATTTATTATAGATGTGTATCTATTTGTTTACCCTTTTGTCTGTGGGGGGTTGCAAGCGGGTACCCGCTAGCAGAACAATGCACACGAACCAGCTAATGGTCTGTTGGGACAAGCTTCCCAGGGCTATGATGGACATGAAGGATTGCGCGGAGATCTTTTATCTAGAACCTACGTGTGCCAGTGGAACTTGCAGTTGTATTGAAATGTCATGTCTTTGGCCTTTTAAAACTGAGGCTCTTTCTTCCATTTGAGGTGCTTGTTCACCTAAAGCCTTGCTATCATCTCCAGGCATGCTGGGACACAAAACATCTTCAAGTGGCCATCATTCCCTGATCCTCTGATCTTTTTCCTCCTTTTCAATCCTTTCCCATCAAGCAATCCAGTTTTGAGGCCTTATATGAGAGACACACACAACCACAACCACAACCACACACCCATTGTTGAAGAATGCATGCAGTCCAAGCACCAGAGCTCCTTTGAGAATTACGAGGCTATCGATCCGAAGCTTGGAGGCTTTCGCCCTATATATATTTACCTTGATTGGTTGCATTTGGTATACAGTATATATATATATATTACAATCTTTTAAGAGGCGATTTTACTTTGGTAGCTCTGATTAAGCACAGCACTGCATTGCTTAGTTAGTTCTGCTCTGCCTGCTGAAGCCCAGAAGTGCCCTCAGACATAGCTTGCAATCCAGACGCTCCAGCATCTGCAATCGGCTGAAGACCAGAGGCCCCGGCATCAGCAATGGGCTGAAGTCCAGAGGCCCCAGCCTCGGCAATGGGTTGCAGCCCGGAGCCACCTGCAGCTGCGACTTCATCAGCTACCTGGGCTGCATGGTCGATCTGTACCTTTGCAGCATCAATCGCTGGTTGACAATACTTGGGTCCGTACATGAGATCCGCGTACTTGGCTGGGGCAGTCTTCGGTGTGGACTCTTCACCAGTCAGGAGACATCCACCATCTGGCCAAAACGTGAAATGTGCACAGAAGTCAACCACTTGGCACCGTTGTTGGCAACTTTCTGCGCTCATTTCTACAGTCCTCTCAGTCCCAGGAAGCTTGACCGGATTTGCATAGTACATGCCCTGAACAAAGCAAGTAGTAACCTCTTCATCACCATCATCGACATCATCGTCAACATCGACTTCCTGAAGACCCACAAATTCGCCGGACTTGCTTCGAAGCCCCTTTCCACGGAATGAGAGAACACCCAAGCTTGCCAGCCCGACAACTCCCAGAATCACCAGGACGCGAGTGGGGAAGCTCCACTTCCGCTGAGGCTGCTCCGTCTCCTCAAGAAGCTCTTCCAAGTCAGAGTGGTTCATCATCACGAGCACGAACGGGATGTGCTGAGTGTTTTAATCACAGCTTAGCCGATCTACTCTTGAGCCGTCAGAGAACAACACGTGAGGTTGTGTGACACGCTTGCATGATTGGATGGATGCTTGTAAGAATGGCATAGCAACCTGCTTTGACTTCTACAAAGTTATAGTTTACTTCCTTGCCACAGAAAATCGTGACGATTTCCATGTTTGGCTTTCACAGAGTCGCCAACTATGTCATATCTTGTTGCAACTCATCATCAGCAGAGAAGTAAAGCGTTCAAATGCCGACTTCGCAGCATCTGCACATATGCAAATTCACTGCAACAAAAGAATAGCGAACTGCAGGCTTGCACCCTGGATAATGGTTGTTTAAAACTTTATGCTGACTCTAATCCCGATTCTATACCTGCTGATTTGGTAGCTAGAAAGACCCGAGATCGCTTGAAAATAATGCCCTAGATTGCAGCGCAGCATCCCAACTGGACTCCCTCAGGTGTAGGGCAGCAACCGCCAGTGATGTTCAGAGCGGCACAAGCAGGGAACCTGCAGCGCACACAATTTGGAACTTCCACGTAGATTCGACAGAAATTTGAAGACACTGGCTTTTGTGGATGCATGAAGACCCTCAAAGACAAAATTCATGGCATGGAAACACTTTGAGATATCAACCCAACAAAGGTAATTATAGTGGTAGAGAGTGCCCCTTGCCCTTGCTACACCAAGAAGCTTTGAGCATTCAGAGCCAGCAAGGATCTTCACCTCTTCCACCGCCTTGGGTGGGAAGCCCTCACAGCAGCCCAGTTTGACAGCATCGGCATTTGGGCAGCAGTCACCGTCAGAAATGCCCACAGCCACACATGCTGGATACTTGCTGCAGGACGTGCCGTTGATGCCCGGTGCTGGCGGCACCACTTCCTTTGCCACAGACTCCGTTGCGTCGGCAGCAGAACCCCAAGCACTTTGAGCTTGTTGAATGCCGGAGGTCACAGTGTCAGCTGCCTGTTGAAGACCGGAGCTCGCGGAATCAGACGCTTGCTGAATACCGGAGCTTGCAGCAGAGCCAGCGGTTGAGATGGCTTCCTTGGCTGCATCAATTGCATCCTGACAGAACTTGGGGCCTGACATAGTCTCGGAGTACTTGTATGGAGCGGCTTTGACATAAGACTCATCGCCAGTCAGAAGACATCCGCCATCTGGCCAGAAGGTAAAGTGCATGCAGCCATCCACAACTTGGCAGCGTTGTTGGCACAGTTCAGCACTCATCTCCACAGTCCTCTCGGTGCCAGGAAGCTTGACGGGCTCTGCGTAGTACATGCCTTGAGCAAAGCAAGTAGTGACCTCTTCATCACCATCATCGACATCATCATCTTCAGCATCGACTTCGTCAAAAGCCAAGAAAGCACCTGACTTGCTGCGAAGACCCTTTCCACTGAAGGGGAAAAAGGCCAAGGCTGCCAGCCCGACAATTCCCACGACCACCAGGGCGCGAGACGAAACGCTCCACTTCCGCTGCGGCCGCTCCGTCTCGAGAAGCTCCTCAAGCTCAGAATCGCGGTTCATGGCGTCCTTGGTGATGTGAAAGCATGCCATAGTCTTTTGGCTGTGATTCACATGTCTTTGTGGTTGATATATAGACCAAAGGATTCAGAGCCATAAGTGGAGATGATCTGTCAAAAGAAAAGAACGGGATGGCCAACCACACACACTTGCGGACTGTCTGTCGCGCGCCTCGCTGCCCTTCCGTATTGGGGTACTGAAGGTCTGTAAGTGAGAACAAGTGTAAATAGGCTTTTTAGTGGCCATCCCCAGATGAACCATTACCCTCTCATGCTTGTTGCGTGTTACGGAAACTTTCTTCCGATTTGGATCCATCATAAGTCTAAAAATGCCCCGTTCTCCATATGACTTTAAGTCCGAAGAAGTTCAAGTGTTGCCGCCGGCTCGACACAGCCTTAAACAACAGGCTACACATTTGCGCAACGCAGTTAGGTTCTTGGAGCATACAATGCAATGCAATATGTTTCCCCGACACCCCAAAGTAGGGGCATCATCTCTGGTCAATCTGGGATTTCATCGCAGTTTAGTTGGAGGCATATGAGCTGGACCACGTTTCCCAGACCAGGAACTAGCGCTCTCGTTACTTGTGGAATATAAGAAACTTAAGGGGCAAAAATGTCCTGCAAATGTTCATTTTCCTATGTCGCTTGTTGATGCGAGAGACACTTTAATTCCCGATTTGCAAGAGCATGTATTTGAGAAAAGACAAATGTTTCAGCGCCAAGTTAAGAAGCCAGGAGAAAGAAGCTACTGGTAACAAAGGGCATCGCTACTAGGAACAAGGACGCTACTAGGGGCTCGTGGCCTTACTGTATACTAGTAACAAAGAAGCACAGTTTAGATCTCTTCTAACCTGGCGGGAGACTTTGCGTCTCCAATAGGAAGCATGCTCGGCGGCGGGATGTAGAGGTGTAGTAAGTGTCCATGGAGTAGTTGTGAATTTCCAAGATCTTAATTGATCCTGAAATTGTGTGTAGAAATCGATTGCTTGCATCTGGTCAAGTTGGTGGGTGGCTGACTCTCGTTCTAACTTAAGCACTCAGTGCAGTCCGTTTAGATCAATGAGATACTGATAGACGAGATGTAAGCCATGCGATTGGCTCTGTGAATGTGTAAAGATAGCATCTGTGGCGTCGTGAAACTCTTGCTTTATTTATGAAAAATGTTATCTCATCGGCAACTGTGTTGCCAAGGCTGGTCTCGAGATCCTGTTTCGATGTTGCCTCATCGACTGACCGATGGGACTTAACCTGCATATTCGATGTAGCAAAGGATTCCAATGGTATTGGAGTTGGCATATCAAATCACCATGGGCAGTACGATGGTGCTGAGCGTTATTCTGACTCTCAAGTATGTCATCAATGATACGTACCACATACGCTGAATCAGTGTAAATGGTAAGGAATGTGTCTGGGTGAGTACGGGTCATACAGTCGACGATCCACACTACAGCCTCTAATTCTGCCCGGTTGATTGTTTGGTGAACACGGACATGTGACGTTTGAACCGCAGCAAAATCACTATACAAGGGGTCAGGTGTCGTAGGGAAAATTGGAGTGAGAATGCAGAGGGTGATCTGTCTTAAAAAGTTGTATTGATGAAATCAGCCCTTTCTCGAAACACTTATGCTGCCAAAAAGCTTCTGAAACTCGAAGTCCAGGATGCAACCAGCTGCTTTGAGAAGCTACACAGCATAACCACTAGTTTGTGGGCTCAGACATCACCTGAACGGTCCGATTGTCGTGAGATCCCTTATGTCTGCTTCCAACACCTTCAAGATCAAGCAGAATGCATCGTCAGTTTCGACTTTCATACTAAGTTACTAAGAGATCACTCCTGGTTGTGAAGGATTGTTTCCTTAGCCACTCCCGGAAGCTAAGCAAAGTGCACAACAAGTCTTGCTTGCAAATTGCAGTTTGCCATTTTCCTAGCTCAGGGCTGCTCAAAGGATCAGCTTGGAACGGGCAAATTCGTACGACAAATTGCGTCCACGAATTGCTATGCACAGCTCTGGCTGAATGGCACATGCCCATTGAAACCTGCTGTCATGGAGAGTGTAGTATCCAGTATAGTTTCCAGTTACAGAATACAGAACCATGGGCGCAAATGAACTGCAGTGTGATATGGAGAATCCTGCCTTACAGTTCAAAATGCTTCCCAATGCAGTCCATGGTACAAGTGTCAATCGACAGCACTGACGTGTTGATTTTGACTACTCCACACACGTCAAACCACTGATGCAAATGGATCCTCACACGGCCAGAGTGTACTGCTGGCCCTCTATCAGGCACCTTGACAAAATCTCACTTACCATCGCCTCAGCACAAAAAAAAAGGTTGTTTTCGCAGAACATCACCAGGCCCTGTATTTGTTATGTGATGTGGAATGTGGCTCAATGAAAGAGTCTTCATATCACACCTTTGACATACCTGTCGCCCAACGCATCATGCTCTAACATATGTGTTCCATGCCAAGAGCACGAGCTTTAGTGAGGGAAAGCCCTGCTTCAAGCTGTTCTAAAGTAGGGAGTCTCTGTTGCAAGTAACAGCTGCTGGGACTCAATATATAGACTCATAGACATTCTCGGCCAGCACCTACGCTGCTAAATGGCCAAAACAAGAACACTGTGTACTATCAGAGAGCAACACTCTCCATCGACCTATATTATGTGAAAGCAAACTCCCCGCAGCTCAGGCTTTCACCAAGGGAACGTAGGAAATCTTTCACATAGTCGAAACACTTGTCCTGCCCAGATGGGAATCAAGAAAGAACCAAAACAAGTATGACGTGTCGTACCTGGTCTTCCAAATCTGATTCAACAGTGGATCTGTAAACGGCGAGCATAATGCCCCAAACCGTGCCAACGATTCCTGCGGCATGTTGTTGTGGCCATACCCCTGCAGCCAAAGCCTCGGTCGCTGCCACTCCAGAGGATGTGACAAAAGCTGTGTGCTACCATAGTCAAGCACTCGCAAACAAACAAACAAACAAACAAACATACATACATACATGCATACAAACAAACGAACAAACAAACAAACATACATACATACATACATGGCGCGTGGAAGACCTGCTCGTGCGCAAATCCCCTTGCGCACATAGCGGGGAGAACCACACCAAGGAGGGCCCATCCCGAAGGACACCTACCACACATTCTTTGCCCGCAATCTGCCCTACACCAACCTCGCTCCGGCAGAGAATTACGGTGGCTGGCAGTTGCTCGCCCTTGACATCATCTAGGTGATCTTTCTTTCAGGTCTACCTCCTCACTCCTTCGGCCTTGGGGAGCTTTTCAACTACCACTTTGCCCGTTATCCCTACTTGCTTGCCTACCTTCCAGGCCAGAACGAGCTCAGTGAAGTGATCCTCCTTCGCTATGACATCAGCAGCCAAATCAACCTGGCGCCGTGCCTACACAGTCTGCCAGGGACACCATTGCGTCAACTGGATTTGGACTGACAAACTGCGGGATGGAACGTGGTGCCGGCAGTGTGGCACATGGTGGAAAAGCTAGGAAGCCATGTAGGGAAACAAGGGCGTCTGGCCACCAAGACCACCAAGGCAGCGCAGTCAACCTGGCCAGAAGCCCCTCCGGGGCTCACCAAGTTCAAGCCCTTAAAGAGGAACAAGGTCCAGCAGGAGGCAAACGATCTCTTGGCACCAACATGGACGATCATCCCGGAGGACATCCAAGGGAAACTACAAGCCTTAAGTATTGGGCCCGCCAAACCTGACGAGCCAGAGCTGACCGATCTTCTCAAGACACATATGGCTGTACTGCCTCAGCAGGTCCAAGATGCGGTGACCAAACTTACCACTCCGGAACCGATTACGGAGCGGGAGATTGCGGCCAAGCTCAAAAGCCAGGTTACAGATCTCAAGAATCTGTCCATCCGCAACACCCAACTCCAGACCAAGATTGACAACGTCAAGGCTCAATATGCCAGCCAAGTCCAGGACACGCAGGACCTGCAAGTAAAACTGACGGATGGACAGAAAGCGCTCAAGGCATTGTCAGAGGACTACGTGAAGGCTGTCAACCAATCACCTGCGCCGGTAGACCTCACAGAGCCAACGGGACAACCTGAACAAATCCCTACGTTGAATCTTTTGCGCATAGATTGGGCATCTCCCTTACTGAGGAGCAAAAGACCCAACTTCATGGGCTGTTTAGGCGGCCCAATCAGGACTCTGATGATCCAACAAAGCGCAGGAAAACTGAGACTACGCCATTGAACCCACCCGGACAGTGTGGGTAACAGCCTATTCACAACCTTTGAAGAGGGGTGGACTGTACCTGTTCCTGAAGATGACATTCCGTCTTGCGATGGCTCGGAGGGTCCATGTTTGGGGACAACTGTCAATTTTGCAGGGGACATGCAACACAATACTCACTTCTGCATTTTGCAAGAACCAGAGCACATTTTGGACTTCACCTCGCCCTTTGCACATGGCAGCCGCTGCCTAAGCCTCTTAATTGAACCAACTTTCATCGCCTCGACCTCTCTGGACTACTTGGAAAGTGGCACCAGAGACATGAACTACTACGAGTACGCATCCACCACAGATTGATCCTGCAAAACCTCAGCGTGATCATTGGCAATCCAAGCGCCAGATGCTATGCCAATGCACCATGGAGGGCCTTTTGCTGGATGTGCGCCTACCTAGCAGAGTCCAACAAGGAGCCTTGGGCGACCATCAGGGATGCAGTTCAGACATCACTCGAACTGAGTGAACCCGTCGACATCAAAACTCTGCCGGGCTTGGAGGACCTGTGGCTCAACACAGAAGGCGACGCAGCACATTTCGTCAACTCCTTGTGGCTGAAATCACAAACAAGGGTGACGCAATACAGATACTCAGAAATCAAGGAAGGAGGATATCTCGTTGAACATGTCCAACTTCCACTTGTGGTGGATTACCCAGATGCCCTGCTGGACGAGATCACCTGGCAGGAGTTGTTACGCCACGCCAAATAGCCACACCTTTGCCACAGCCTGAGACGCCAGATTATGACCCTCCGCTTCACAGCACCCCACCCAAGAAAGCCAAGTTCACACAGGATTCCATGCGGATCCATGTAGCAAACATCTAAACATCTACCTTTGGCAAACACACCTTGGGCTGGCTGTGGAGTCACGAGAATGAACTCCATGTTCTTGTCGAAACACGTTTGGACAAACAAAAACACAGTTCCTGCGTGAATACTTCGAGGTGAGAGGCCGCCATGCCTTCGGACTACCAGCCCACAGCAACAGCGCCAATGATGGCAACCATGGAGGCCTTCTGATCCTGCATGACACTGCACATGGCATCACCAATGTGGAGAGCTACCACATCGAGGGACGCGGATACCAAGCATTTCTATGGGAAGCCAAGGCCAGATCCATCGTGGTCGTTGCTGTCTACTTCAAGACCAATGAAACAATACTCGGCTCCACCAACTCCCAACTCCTGGCTAGAATCTTGGCCCTGATTGAAGCCTCCAACCGGCAGTACATCCCCGTTGGGGACTGGAATGCTCACCCAGACCAATTTCAAGGCACTGTCTTGGGATCGATTCCTGCGCCAGATGCCAGATGCCACCATGTTGAACGGCAACACTGTGGACTATGCCCTCATCCACAACAACTTGGCTCCACACACCTCCATGACCACAGAATGGGCAGTACCGTGGCGTCCGCACTGCCTGGTCACATATGCGCTGGAACTCGATGATGAACTACCAACGGTCCCGGACATCGATTTCCGCCCATGGACCACCTATGTCAGCCAGGTTGAGGACATCATCTTGTACGACGTAGAGCCCAACCAAGCGGCCAGAGGGTTGGCCGACTGGGTGTCAGTCACCGAGCAATACCTGTTGCAACCCCATGGGCACCACAAATAGGAGCTTTAAACCTCACTGTCATACACCAACCCCTGGCACCAGCCAAGGCAGGGGCACTCTGGAAAAAGGGGAAGCCATCCTTTTGGGAGCAGCTTCAAGCAAGGCTCAGCATCATCCAGAACCAGCCCACCCAGGCCAAAGGTGCGGCCTCCTGAGGACTGGCGACCCAACATGGCCCCAGTTCCTTGACACCAGCCAACACTGGCAGCAACATGGTGCAGCGGACTGGATTGGACGGTGGCACACCAGGCCATGAAGAAGCTGAGCAAAACCCAGGCCAACCACATCCGTTCCAACGTGCCCGCCCACACCCAAGCACATCCTGTGGCTTTGCACCTGGCACCGCAAACAAGGCCATGAGCCCCTGCCAATTCCCTGGACAGAACACCTCCAAGACCCACTTGAAGAACCACTCTGGGCCCACGGATGGATCGGAACCACAGGATCATCTACACCAGCCTTTAGGGCTTCAAGGGCACGGATGTTGGCAAGGGCTCGAACCCCTACCGCTGCAACCATGGCAGGGTTTGTCAGTCACAGTGGATGCCACCCCAACGTCAGCAGACAGACGGGCACAGGCTTGGATCTTTGCCCTCTGCATCCACGGGTAATTCGTTGGCGCGCTCCACAAAAAAGGCACCATCACCGCCATGACCAAGGGGCCTCAGACCAAGGCCAGGGCCATCTTCCAAGGGCTACCGACAGTTGCCCAGTTTGGCCAAACACCGATCACCGTCATAGTCCAGCTTGCATTAGTATGGGAAGCCTGGACCAATCCCAAGAAGCGCAAGGGGTTCTATGACCTCGCGCCAAGGTCAGACCGAGGAGCTGTTTGCAAGAATCAGACCCCTCTACATAAGCAGGAACTAGAGCACACCTGATGCACCAGCAAATGAACACCTCCGACAACGTCAAAGAGACGCAGCATTGGCAGCTTGGAACGGGCCAACACCATATATGATCCAACTGCGGAGGCCTGGCAACGTACTCTGGATCAGGACCACTATGAGGCATACCGCCACGCCGCAGCCAGATTGGAAAGATCTACAAAGATCCCCAGCACTACTTGCATGAGAAACCAGTCCGACATGCTGGACATACAACCAAACAATACAAAAAGCGCCTCATCCAGCAATGTCAACAACCATGGATCCCAGGCAAACACCAATGGAAGCCACATCGGAGCGGCTTCCAATGCCATACATGTCACATCAGGGTGCATCAAGGCCTCACGGTTCAGACCATTGAAACCAGGCTGCAGCAGCACTGTGATCAACTCACACATGAAGCACCAGAACCCGACATACCTCCAGACAAGCCAGTTGGCAATAAGCCCACTCGATCCAGCATCATTGCAGACCTCCTCATGGTCCAGCGTGGCCCCCAATGAGCACGCTTTTCAAGAAACCACTGGCCACCTCAAACGCACGAAGTGCAACCTGGCTGTACACAAGAGAGCCAAGGAAGAGACTTTCAAGGCCTTTGTGGATAGCCCGTGCATTGATGAAGCATACACACAACCGCACCAAGGCCACCCCGCCCACACCTTGTGGCAGCAGGGCAAAAGCATCAAGCGCAAAGGATGCGGGCTACAAAGCCACCTAGATGAGGCCAGCCGTGCGATCCTCACGAGAGGGCTCCGCAACAAATGCCGGGGAAAGAGTCAGAACTCCCCCACCTTGGACCAGCTCTTCGGCGCACAGGCCAAACGCAAAGAGTCTCCAACGGGCCATGACACCCCGCCAACACTGGAGACACCACTACAACTTCACCACTGGCCATGACACCCAGCCTTGAAGGTGAAGAAGAAGCCTCCCACACAACGGACCTGAAGATGGCCGACACGGAGGAGGACTGCGACCACTACCAGGTCGACTTCTTCTGGGTTCCAGGACAGCTGAGCACTGAGGCACAAGGCCTAGAGCAGGGCCATGACTAAAGGGCACAACCCAACTCGCCAACTTTAGAAAAATACATACATACATACATACATACATCCATACATCCATACATCCATACATCCATACATCCATACATCCATACATCCATACATACATTACATTACATATATTACATTACATTACATTACATACATACATACATACATACATACATACATACATACATCCACGCACACGAACAAACAAACATACACACATACATACATACATACATACATAGCATCGCATCGCATCACATCACATCACATCACATTACACACCATACCATACCATACTAGACTTGCTATCAAAAAATGATACACTGATCATGACCTGCCAAAAATGATTTTCCAGCAAATGTTCAGAGAAGTGTTGCCTGTGAACAGTCTGAGGCGCAAACGGAGGATATGGGTTTTGGAGCTGTTTGTGCAGGGCCTGCGCTTAGACATGTCTTGGCTTTCAAAAAGTCAGCCTGGAGCTGTGCCCAAGAAACCACAATATGTCGCGGGTTCCAGCTGAAGTGTCTGTTTTCCGCTTTTGTTTGCAACGCCTTTCTCTCCAAGACAGCCAAGTGTTTGTCACAACTGACCTGGTCAATTCGGCGAGTTTCTGAAATCCTTTCGCCAAAAAGGGTCAACACGCCAACTCCATTGCAAAAGACTCATCACTTCCTTAAACTGTTGGAAGCACTGATGAATTCAGAGAGTGGAGATTCACCGTCTTCGCAGCACCCCACATGCCCATGCAGTCACACCTACACACTCTCACAGCAGCCAAGGTTAATGCCATCAGGTGTAGGGCAACAAGCGCCACTGATGTTCAAAGACACGCACGCAGGGAACCTGTGGACTTGAAATGTCCAAAGTAATTGGTCTGACCGGACCAAAAAGGGCATGGTATGGATGTGAATGGAAACGCGTTTCCTTCACCTCATTTTCGCAAAGACCCAACATCGCGAAGTTTTCCTTGGAACTGGACACACCATCCAATATGCCCTCAAGAGACAGAAGTTTGTTGCGCTTGGCGACGTCGTCTCTTCAGGCTGCCACGCCGTCATCTGGACACCAGCAAAAGCGCAAGGAGTACAAAAGGACAACGGGAGGACAAGAGGAGGACACAGGGTTGGCCAGCGCGGCCAGAAAACAACAGCAACAAGAGGAGGAGGACAAGAGGAGAACAAGAGGGGCGCAAAAGGGAGGACACAGAGTTGGCCGGCGCAGCCAGAGGACACAGCATACAAAAGAAGGACAAGACCCGCACACTGAGCGGACGGAGAGTTCAGGGCACGGCTAGCCAGTGTGGCCAGCTCTTTTCTTCCCAAGAGATTTTCCTAAGAGGGAACCCAACCAGTAAAGTGTTTGGCGAAAACAAAACCACTCGGAATTATTCTCTTCTAGGGCAGCTTGATAGTCCTTCATTCTTCAAAGCTGGGATGTGCTCCCAAGCGTACCCAATAGCGCGCGCCCAGCGTGTTCACGTACGACGCCCGCTGTCGTCATACACGTTTACTGAACTCGAGCTGCCTCAAGAAGTGATGCCTGATGCAGTCACTGTCTCTCTCGAGCTCTGGCTACAAGGTCAGGCGGCGAAACGAGGAGAATAGAAGGACAACGAAGGACAGCAGAACAAGAGAAGGACAAGAGGAGGACAAGAGGACAACAACAGCAGGAGAAGAGAAGGACGAGTGACAAGAGGAACAAGAGGAGGACAAGACGCAAGAGGAGGACAACAGCAGGACAAGAGCGCGTCGTCATCCTTCTCTTGTCCTTCTCTTGTCCTGTTGTGTCCTCTGGCCGCGCTGCCAGCTCTTATCCTGCTGTTGCCCCCTGGCCGCGCTGACCAGCCCTGTGTCCTCTCCTCTTGTCTGCGTTGGTCAGCGGGGCCAAACAAGAGGAGGACAAGAGAAGGAAAACAGCAGGACAAGAGGTTTGTTGTTGTTTCCATCACTCGACGCGCGTGGGGCTCTCGTGCAGCCCGGCTCCTTCCTTGGGAGCTCTGCAGCATCAAAGCAAATCAAAATCACATGGATGGAAACTCTCCTAGACGACCTAGACCATCGATCTCACTCATTTCAGCAGCTCCCATCCGCTCGCCTCCGCGCTCCACCCAGCACAGCGCCCAAGGCTACAGCGCCCTCAGCAGCAGCATGTAGAGTTTGGATCTTTTTTGCCCGGGCTTGGGCGTCCGACATCTCTGTCAGGTCTCGTTGGGGGGTGCGTTCAACGCAAAAATTGGGCCCATGGGTAGCAAGGTGGTGTCATGAAAGGCGGACGTGGGTCTCAAGGCAATGATGAGTTGGCATCGATGGGAAGGCGGTCTATCAGATCTACACTCCCATGACACCAAGCGCACGGAAGGACCTCGGTTGGCCATGAGCCATTCGTCTGGATGAACGGCTTGAGCATGGCTTTCCAGCAGGTTGGAAGAGAGGCGAACAATGCCGCAAATGGGGCAGGTTGTCCTCAGGTCAAGGAGTCCTCAGCTTGAAAGACCACTTGTTGGCCAGTCTTGAAGCAGCGCAGGCAGTGGGTGAGCATCTCATCTTTATGAAGGCTGAGGGCACCGGTGCAGGGCGACACACAAAGTGGTGAGAGGCCCTGACAAGCCACAGAATCACTACGTCCTGCCCAGGCTCATGGTGGAGTGCAAACCCATCGCAAGCTTCCCGGCTGTCGTCGAACGCAAGCCAGCCTTCAGACCCTAAGCCACATGCCCAATAGTGCCCAGCATCATGTTGACCGGCGCCTACACCACGTCAGCAGCAGGAGCCAGCCAAAAGGAAGCAGCCCTGCCATGAAGAGGTAGGGACCAACACCCCGCTCATATGGGCCGGCTGCGGAGCCGCTTTGAGCACGGAGGCTTGAAGGACAAGAGGAGGACACAGGCTCGGTCAGCGCTGCCAGAGGGCAACAGCAGGAATAGAGAAGGTCAGCGCGGCCAGAGGACAACAGCAGCACAAGAGAAGGACAAGAGGAGGACACGAGGACAAGACCCGGACACAGAGGCGGACACAGAGTTCATGGGCGCGGCCAGTCACTGTGGCCAGCTCTTTTTTCTAAGAGAGAACCCCAACAGTAAACTGTTTGGTGGAAAACAAATGTTAGAACCCAAGCCCTTCTGACAGTTTTTCTTCATCAGCAGGACTCCTGGCAGGACTCGTATTTTCACAACACAATAAGTGTTGCACTGAGCAAGCTGGCATCCAATCAATGCGTCATCAATCATTGATTAAATTGTCACTGCGACTGAGCTAAACAAACCATTTCTTACTCATGAGCAGAGCATGTTGTTGGCTTTGCAGCATGACCAAACTTTTTGGGAAAGATTCCGATGGCAAATCTCAAAAGCAGGGCGACAAAAATTGCTTTTTCGCGAGCCTGGAACATTCTGCTCCTGCTGCAATCTTTACCTCTTCAACCGCCTTGGGGAAGCCCTCGCAGCAGCCCAGTTTGACAGCATCAGCATTTGGGCAGCAGTCACCGTCAGAAATGCCCACAGCCACACATGCGGGATACTTGCTGCAGGACGTGCCGTTGATGCCGGGTGGAACTACCTCCTTGACGGCTGACTCTCCAGCACCCCAAGTGCTCTCGCCTTGTTGAGCCTCTGAGCTTGCCGTGTCAACATCGTCGTCATCATCATCTGCGGGGGGGACACCGCAGTACTTGGGCCCGGACACTGTAGCAGAATACTTGTATGGGGCAGCTTTGACAGAAGACTCTTCGCTCGTTAGAAGACATCCACCATCTGGCCAAAACGTGAAATGAGCACAGTCCTCCAAGGTTGGCACCTCTAGTTTTGCTCTATTCTTGCCAACAGAACACCTTGATTCGTTCTGTGTTCACGCAAAGTGTACAGTAATTGGTGGGCAAAAGAAATTCAAGTGACTCTGCGTGTATGTGTCTTCTTTGTCAGAGTGTGCATTTGAGACGTGGGTTTAAATCTGATCTACTGACAGTACCTCTTTCGTTCCACCGCTTTCTAAGAACCAACCAAATCAAGTCAACATGATGATGAAAAGTTAGCGATGCTTTGGAGTACCATCTGCACTGAAAGCATGTGTCAAAAATTGTCACCACCACCACCACAACCACAACCCCAACAGCAACAACAACAACAATGACAAAATCAACGGCTTGGGGGCCAGCGGGATCTGCTTTAGGATGGAGTGTCTAATGTGCACAATCTGGGGGATTGGCGCTGTTTTGCAGGACACCCACCGACAACCCTTATGGCATCGCCGGTGTGCTAAGCTTCAAAACCTACTACACCTGAGTAAGTGTGTAAGTGTGCGTGGACATGATCTATTTCTACGGCAAATTTGTATGAACATGATCTATCTCTGCATCGTACATATCTCTACATCTCCGGCTTGCATGTACTCGGCAAATAGATACAAATAGCAAAGAATCATCTGTCGCCACAGAAAATAACATAGGCATGTCACAATGCCTTCTCCTTGAGGTTGGAAAAATGCAAAGGCTAGAAACAGCAAGGCAAAACTTCCCGAAACAAAGCAAAGCCATGAGTCCTCCACCACCTGGCACCGTTGCTGGCAAGCCTCAGCACTCAGCTCCACTGTCCTTTCGCTGCCCTCCATCTTCACGGGATCATTGTAGAACATGCCCTGGTCGAAACAGTCCACATCCTTCAGAATGCGGCGAGAGGACAAACCCCTCAGCAGACCCGGTGCTTGGTCAGCCAAATGTAAACAAGCAACAAAAATGTTACGGAATTGATCAAACTCGAACATATCGTTTGTATAACATAATTATATATATATACACACATGTGTATATATATATAATCATCCTCGAGTAGATAGAATACGGAATTGAGCCGCCAACGTACCTTCCGTCATTTCAATTTCATATTCTAAGTACCTCGTTTTGACCCCAAAAAAAAAGTACATAGAATATCTCCGAGCGGATCAAACGAGTACTTGGAATATCGTGGAATGGTCTGTGGAAGATAGGGGACATAGGGGAGAAGATGGGAGAAGGAAAAGGGACATAGGATGCGAGCTCGCGCGCGCGCGGGTGTTTCGATTCGAGGCACGCGGGTGTTTTGATATAACCATCCTAAAGATGCTTTTGGGACCCCGATATTCCATGTATTATTACTTTTTTTTAGTGCCGCGGGATTGAGTTGTACCAAAATTCTATGTACTTCAGGATGGTTATATATTTAAGGGCTGCCGCCCAGTGCCGCCGACCCCAGGAAGGGAGACAAAAGAGGTGTGGGGCGGACAGAAGGCATGGTGACGCGTGGGTGGTAGCGCAGAACACATGGGGACACCGCGGCGTGCTGCACCGGCTATGTGGAATCCCAAATGTGAGGAGGGGGCAGGAGGGGGTGCTGCATCGGCTACGTGGAGAGGAGGGGGGAGGGAGGGGGTAAGCGTTAGAGATATTAAAGGGGGTGGGGCAGACAGAGGGCATGGTGACTCCACGGTGTGCTGC